CAGTTTTGAACGATCTCCGCTTTACGAATTTTTGCTGCAGCCGAGCCCCTGAGTGGACTTCTATCTAGTCCTCAACACTTGCGGCTTTTTAAGTATTCAGTATTCAGATTTCAAGAACCGTCCCATTCTTACGAATCACAAATTCCAATGATTTCGTTTTTTGCCCATTGAACCTCCGATGTTCATGATCTTTGCATATCTTTGCGTTTGACAGCTGCTGCTGTGCGAATCAAAGTGGGCATTTTCGATGTGTGTCTTCCAGTGTCTTGATTGTCGGGAGCTCTTGTACTGATTCAACTGAGGGCCTATTTTGCCATGAACAGTGTAATCCAGTGAGATTGTTTCCAGTCGAAACATCGGACCGTTTTTGGAATCCAGGCAGCTGCATGGACATTTAGCAATTAACTTTAGCCGAAACGCACACAATACCATACAATACCTCAGGCCAGCCTCAGGGACTACTTCAGGAACGACTACAAGGGCGGCGGTGTCTTTAAGCACGAGGCCTACGAGCACCATCCCGACGAATGGTGCTGGATCCACAAGAGCTCTGGCATCAAGGCACGCGACCGTCGCCATTTGACCCGTTTCGTCACGCCACGTTGTGACGCAGCAGACTCGGTGCAACCCCAGCAGCTCCTGGCAGGTGTGGCAGGATGCCCTGGACCTGACTCAGTCCAGTGGAAGTGGCGAAGTCGAGTGCTTCTTTCATTACACGACTCAGTTGGGGTTTATGAACATCACGGCCGAAAGCAAGAAAGCCGTTGAAGTCTTCGTGTTGCACTCAGTCACCAATCAACATGTCATGTGATGTCATGTGACATGCGTCTTTTTGCCCGCTCACCTTGCCGATGGCCATAGCCTTGAGCATCCGAAGGCCTCTTTGGTGACCAGCGGTCCGAACGCCAATGCATGGTGGGGCAGAGGCAGGGCCAGTCATGCATGCGCATGCATCATTTTGCAGCTGCTGTATCACAATTGACAAAACGTGAGCATTTGCTTCACCGTCTGTGGTTGTGCACAGCAGGGCGCTTAAGTGCTTTCTTTCTCTGTGACTGAGAGATGTCCTTGGACCTTTGTGTCCACTGCAAACAATTCTGATGAGGAGTTTATACCGTGCGAAGATCGCCCGATGACTGGCCAGATGTGGCAACGCTGATCGACAACAACTACCGCAACATGCACGCGAGAGACTTGAAAACGAAAGGCCGCCAGGCCGCGGACGAGGAGAGTGTGCCTTTCTTAGGCGCAACATTGCCCACAGTTTTGGTTCAATTTTTGGATGCGCACATCGTCAATGTTTGCAGATTAACAGACCTAGATCCAGTCATGGAGGAGTACGCCTCGCGCGTGGCCTATTGCATACCAATATTGGCCAACGCCGCCGTCACATACGACGTTTCGATTCAACAGACGCCGGAGATGCAGAAGGAGGCTGGTAGCATCGGGTAGCATTTGTTTGCTTTGCCTGGAGCTGAATCGATTTTGTGTGGACACATGCGGAACCATCTGATTCATGTTTGCTCTGCACCGTTAGGGCAAGCTTCCCGGCGTGTCCGGGACCCAGTACCTGAGTACTTCATATGAAAGCTGCGCAATGACACACATTGCTTTCAAGTCCGCTGCCCAGGAACCTGGCAGGAAAGCTGCTCAATGAACCTGGTCAGCCAGAGAGGCAGTGCGTGGTGATCAGGGTGGAAAGAGAGGAGGAAGTGGGCCACGCCAGTGCAGTGCTGCTGGACACGAAACTTGGCTGCTTTTAGGGCTTGGAACTTGGATCTTGAGTCGGCCAACCATCCAGGGTACGGCCGTTCAATATTAAATCAGGTGGGCCGAGTTCAAGACTTCTATTGGAAAAATGATCCAGAGGGCTGACAAGTTTTTGGCTTTTGATGAATTCTCAAGTTCGAGATGCACACTGGTCCCTTCGAGGGATTTGGACCAGACCAACATGATTTCAAAAGTTTTGTTTTTGATGCACCCTGCGGACTGTTTCAGCTGCTCTCTTGCTCTCATCTTGCCTCTCCTTCTCCGGGATCTCTGGTCACGTCGCTCCCTGGCAAGTTTACGGAACCTCTCCTGTGGGTCAAAGTATATCAAAGTTATCAAAGTATCATGGTCGTGGCAGGATGGATACCAAACAGAAAGCACGAAGCTCAAGCTCTGTTTCGAGAGCGAGCGCGCTTGTCAATCCAATATTTTGCACTCCAGATCTAGAAAGGTACACCGCAAGATAAAAGCACCGTTTGTCCTGGCTCGGGCTCCTTGTCCTGCAATTGAAAGTATCTGGGAGTAAAGGCATGGAGCAGAATCACTTGATGTTTGATCTTGCCACCTGACCATTCACTTTAAGATGTGGAGAAGGCGTGACTCAGGTTCTGGAACTTTGAAACTCTTTCAGGAGTGCCCGCGCGACATTGCCTTCTGAGATTTCTTGAGTACGGTCCACTTCAACCTTATAGTATTATAGTATCTATCGGCATCTATCGACTATATTCAATGTCATGTCTATTGACTATGCTATGAGTTGATTTGAATCTACCCGCTCCATGTAGAACAAACGTCTGCAAATTAAAAAAAACTCGCCCCCCCCCGCCCTCATGCGTAAAAGCATCTGGTTGAAGATCCCGCGTTGGAAGCAGGGGCCATGGATTGCAGCCCAGTAGCCAGGGAGCTTCTGACTGAAGCTGGAAGCTTTCCCACACCTTGGCCATTTTGCGAACCTGGCCATTCTCTTTAAATTTGCCTTCCATGTTGATCAACAGCAGTTGGTGACATGGTTGCTGCCATGTGATAGGCACAGCCATGTGATAGACATCATCATGGACCAAGGCTGCGGTGCCGTGCAGATGCCACAGCCGAAAGATTGGGCCCTGAGCACGCCGAAGCGCTTTTGGCACTGAATCGGTGCGGACCTCAGTCCCTCCAAAGAGACGAACACATTGGCAAACATGTACTGTGGAGTCAAGAACTGTATTGTCTTGTCACCACAGATTCGCATCCAGAAATGCCACACAACCGCAAAGTGAAAGCTGTGGATTGCAGTAGGCAACAGTATTTAAAGTAAGCATCAAATAGCATCAAACAGCATCAATAAGTATAGCCTATAGCAACTGCTCAAAGTCAAAAACTCTCTCTCCCCACGAAAGCTTTGGGAACTTTTCGGCTCCCGTGGCGATCCACGGCTGAGGCTGGCGTACGTGCTGGAGGCCCGCGGCGCCTTCGCCGAGGCCGAGCCGCTGCGGCGCCGAGGCCTGGACGCCTACGAGCGCCTGCTGGGCCCCGAGCACCGCTGGACGCTCCAAGCGGTGAACAACTTGGGGTTCGTTCTGAAGCAGCTGGGGAAGTTCAGCGAGGCGCCGCTGATGTGCTGTGCTGCAGTCACCGTGGCGGGTGGATGGTGCTGCATTTTGTGTTGGGAAAAGTTGGGAAAAATGCAGGGAAACAATCAACGCATTTTCAGATCATCTCAGAATTTGTCATCTAAGTAGAAGCGCGATGCTACATGAACATGTCAATTTTACGCAAATCATCTCAAATCATCTCAAATCACGTCATGTATGGACGTGCCAAAACATGGACATGTCAAAGTTTAGCAAAAGATGTTTGCAAAGAACAGATGCCGCGTTGCAAGTTTCAGTCTGAGATGTCTGAGGCTGTCAAAGCGTTTTAGCAAAAAAAAATCACAGAACAGATGCACCCTGAGGTTGGAGTTTATTTGCAAATGGGAAGATTGGAACGACGATGACGCACATCCAAATCATGTTGAAATGTCAACTCGTCGAACTTTGCGTTTTATTCTTCAAGTTTTGAATTATGTGTGCATTTAAATGGTATAATTGTACTTGACATCTTTTTCACCAATCCAAACTCAAGGCCATTGCTCACCTTTCTTCCCTTTCCAAATGGTACTCGCAGGCAGATCCAGGCCTGCAGACCCCACACCACCGGTGCCATCCTGAGATGCCAGGCGGAGGCCCTGCACCGCCGAGCTCTTGCAGGGCGCGAAGCGCACCTCGGTGCGAATCACCCGGACACGCTCACCTCCATGAACAACCTGGCGATCCTTCTGGAAAAGCAGGGGAAGCTGGCTGAGGCTGGGCTGAGGTCTTTGGATGGAGAGAGGTAACCTTCCTGGAGGACGCTTCACATTTTTGTTTGACCAAGGCCTGAGGCCTGCATTTTCTTCTTGTTTCCCGGTATTGTTGAAACGATGTGACAAGTGATTCATTTATGCAGCTATTATTTATCATCGTTGCAGGGTTTTTTGTCTGTATATGTACTTGCTTTTGTTTCCCACACCTCCTGACCATGTGCCCACCCTCGGCAAAATCTCATGAAAGTATAGTATAGTCACCCTTTATCACACTCTCAAAAGAGTTCATCAAACCTGAAGAATTTTCAAGATTCACTATACCAGCAAGGAACTGCGTGGCTTCTGAAGTCACCAACAGGATAGTGTTGCCAAACGAATTCAATGAAGACCAACGAAGTAATTTTGCAGATGCACCCTCTTTCTTGCCATTTGGCATTGCTTCTCAGACGCGCTCCCCCTGGTTCCCTGGAGTCGGTTGCAGGTTGAGGTCTTTGGGGTGAGAGGTGACTTTCCTGGACGTTTCACCAAGGGCATTTTTTGGTTTGACCAAGGCTTGAAGCCTGGAGATTCTTTTTGTTTCCGGGTATTGTTGGATGATTCTTTTTGTTTTCTGAGTTTGGATTTTTTCACAACGGGAAGATTGGAACGAAGATGACTCACATCCAAATTTTGTTGAACATGTCAACTCATCGACCTTTGCGTTTTATTCTTCAAGCTTTGAATCAGCTTTTTGAATTATGTGTGCATATTACATGGCGCAATTGTATTTGACATTTTTTTCATCAATCCAAACACAAATTGCCATTGTTCATCTTTCTTCCTTTCCCACATGGTCACATGGTACTCACAGGCGGATCCAGGCCTGGGGCCCCACACCACCGACGCCATCATCCCAAGACGCCAGGCGGAGGCCCTGCACCGCCGAGCTCTTGCAGGGCGCGAAGCGCACCTCGGTGCGAATCACCCGGACACGCTTCAGTCCATGAACAACCTGGCTGCCCTCCTGCGGCAGCAGGGGAAGCTGGCTGAGGCCGGGCTGAGGTCTTTGGATGGAGAGAGGTGACCTTCCTGGACGTTTCACCAAGGGCATTTTTGTGTGGCCAAGGCCTGAGGCCTGGATTTGTTCTTTTCGATTTCCCAATATTGGTTGGATTGCTTTCTTGGGCGTAATACATTGTTTGGACCTCCATCCACATTTCATAGTTGTAATCGGCAAAATGAACACATGGCAAAACTGTCAAATCTTTCCGGTGAATTCTTGCAAATGAGGCCTATAGATGCCTATACATAGAGGCGCATGCTGAATGAAAGTATGACATCTCCGGGACCCCCATACTGTTCCCACTAACTAGTTTCCTGGTTGAAGTTGGCAACCCACGAAAGCTGTGCGATTGATATTGATATATGGATTTGTATATGGTAGTTTGCATACCGCAGTGACTACACAAATTGCCTGACACTTACGTTGCTAGTTTGTAGTGCCGCAGCGGCGCCACCTCGAGCTGCCAGGCGGAAGAGCTGCAACGCAAAGCGCTCGCAGGGCGTGAAGCGCAGCTGGGAGCGAGCCATCCCGACACGCTAATCTCCGTGAACGTTCTCGCTGTGATCCTCGAGTCGCGAGGCAAATTGGAAGAGGCCAGACTGAGGTCGGGTGTAGGGAGGTGACATGAGGTGACCTTCCCCGTGGAAGTTCCAAGGGGAAGGCGTTTTTTTTGAAGTATAAACAAGAGTGGAAGAGTGGACCCTTCCATATCTCCAATTTGTGCATCTCCTAAGTTTCGCCCAAATTCAGTAATTGAATTGCTCGGGCATGAAATCCATACATGCAATGTGCATCAGGGTTTGTGCCAAGGATCTGTCCTCCAATTCCCGAGAGTCAAACTTGGGAACCCATCAGCCGCTTGCATTTTCCCGCAATCTCTAACTTTCAAAACTATGAGACTCTGAAGAATCTTTGGGGTTTGTTAGGCGAAAGAGAACTGTACGGCTTGTGTCACACGGAAACACAACAGCATAGTGATGATGAGTGATGTCAGTATACTAATTTGGCGCAGTTCAACACACGCCCTAGATTTTTGTGTTTCCAAAATCAGTCAGCCAAGGCTGTTTGTAAGACCCTTCTTCACGATACCAACACTTCTTCAATGGATTCAACCCGGACTCTCGATTCTATGTGCAAGAGTTTCCGGATCACGATAAGCATATTTCCAAATGGGCAACTGAGGCCACATACAGCTTATTGATTTGAGAACGATGACGAAAGCGGGCAATGACTGCCCCAGGAGTGTGACGTACCCCCAGCAGGATCAAAATCAGCTAGATGGGAATGATCGTGTGTCAGTTGTTCGTGTGAGGAATCTGTGAAAGTCTGAAGCTATGAACGTGAATTGGCACGTTAATGTGGCTTGCGAAGAGTCTTCAAAACGCTGAACAAAACGCAGCTTGCCAAAAGGTTGCCAACAGGTACAGCCTCAACATCGCTATTGGCTTTTGTAGTTTGCAAATTCTTGTGAGATGTATGATCTTAGTTGGCCGCATAGGCACCTGTTTGGCTGCGACAGCATCACCAGTTCAGCTGAACCTGTGAAGGGAGTATTTCTTGTTATATGCAATCTAGCCATATCTAGCCTGCCTACATGCTCGGCAGGGCTTTTCGAGGCCCTTAGCAATTTTAATCCGTTGATTATTTTCGAGGGCGTTTGACAATTTGTTTGAGATGATGACCGATCATCCGAGCCGTAGCCCCCTCCGTGCCCCAGGGTTGTTTCGTGAGAGCGGGCCAGCAATGTGAGCAAACACTGTGAGTAAATTGAGTAAATTGATGCTTCTTGGCATCCCGTGAATCCAAAGAGTGCTTGACGAGCGCTTGGAATAGTATGTTCTCACTATAGTCCAAAAATGTGGCCTTTGTTGGCTTTTCTTCCCTTTCCATGACACATGGGGCCTGAGCTGGGGCTCTTCTCATGTTTCGACACCTCAGCGCTCCACCTCGAGCCGCGAGGCAGAAGGTCTCTACCACCGGGCCTTGGAATGCGGCGAGTCCCAACTGGGAGCCCAACACCCCGACACCCTCGTTTGGGTGAACAACTTGGCCGTTGTCTTGGAGAAGCAGGGCAAGTTGGAGGAGGCCAGGCCGAGGTCTTTGGGGTGCAGAGAGGTGGCCTTCCTGGCACTGTCGAGAGGAAGGCATTTCTCATGTGGCCAGGACGAGACGGGTGAGTTTTCTTTTCCCAGTTTCACCAGAGCAATTTGGGAATGTGAATTGATGCCTAGGCTGATGTACGGACAGATTTTGATTTGAGTTTGATGGGGAAGCATTTCTCGCCAGGGGGAACCGTTTGAAATTGAGTGTTGGACAGCATTGTTGTTGGTGAATTTAGTGAAATTATTGAGTTAACCGACAGTTAACCACCAAAGACACGGGCCAAGCAAGTCAGAAGGCCTTCTTTCACCTCGGACTGAACTTATGATGTTTTGTGAATGATTTTGGTGATCATCTACAGCTGATTGTGGTGAGTTCCCACAGTTTTTGACAGGTGTGTGGAATAGTATTTTCTCATTAAAGTCCAAGAAGTGTGGCCCTCGTTGACCTTTACTCTTTCCCATAAATCAGCCATGAAACCACAGGACTTGGAGCTCTTCTCATGTTTCACCACCTTAGCGCTCCATCTCGAGCCGCCAGGCAGAAGGTCTCCACCGCCGAGCCTTGGAAGGCCGCGAGTCCCAACTGGGACCCCAACATCCCCAGACTCTTGGCTCGGTGAACAACTTGGCCGTTGTCTTGGAGAAGCAGGGCAAGTTGGAGGAGGCCGGGCCGAGGTCTTTGGGGTGCAGAGAGGTGGCCTTCCTGGCACTGTCGAGAGGAAGGCATTTCTCATGTGGCCAGGACGAGACGGGTGAGTCTTCTTTTCCCAGTTTCACCAGAGCAATTTGAGAATGTGAATTGATGCCTAGGCTGATGTACGGACAGATTTTGATTTGAGTTTGATGTGGAAGCATTTCTCGCCAGGGGGAACCATTTGAAATTGAGTGTTGGACAGCATTGCTGTTGGTGACTTTATTGCGAAATTATTGAGTTAACCACCAAAGACACGGGCCAAGCAAGTCAGAAGGCCTTCTTTCACCTCGGACAAAATCTATGATGTTTTGTGAATGATTCTGGTGATCATCTAAAGCTGATTGCGGTCAGTTCCCACAGTTTTTGACAGGTGCTTGGAATTGTATTTTCTCATTGAAGTCCAAGAAGTGTGGCCCTCGTTGACCTTTACCCTTTCCCATAAATCAGCCATGAAACCACGAGACCTGGGGTTCTTCTCGTGTTTCATCACCTCAGTGCTCCACCTCGAGCCGCGAGGCGGAAGGGCTGCACCGCCGAGCCTTGGAAGGCTACGAGTCCCAACTGGGACCCCAACATCCCCAGACTCTTGGCTCGGTGAACAACTTGGCCGTTGTCTTGGAGAAGCAGGGCAAGTTGGAGGAGGCCGGGCCGAGGTCTTTGGGGTGCAGAGAGGTGGCCTTCCTGGCACTGTCGAGAGGAAGGCATTTCTCATGTGGCCAGGACGAGACGGGTGAATTGTTTTTCCCAGTTTCACCAGAGCAATTTGGGAATGTGAATTGATGCCTAGGCTGATGTACGGACAGATTTTGATTTGAGTTTGATGTGGAAGCATTTCTCGCCAGGGGGAACCATTTGAAATTGAGTGTTGGACAGCATTGCTGTTGGTGACTTTATTGTGAAATTATTGAGTTAACCACCAAAGACACGGGCCAAGCAAGTCAGAAGGCCTTCTTTCACCTCGGACAAAATCTATGATGTTTTGTGAATGATTCTGGTGATCATCTAAAGCTGATTGCGGTCAGTTCCCACAGTTTTTGACAGGTGCTTGGAATTGTATTTTCTCATTGAAGTCCAAGAAGTGTGGCCCTCGTTGACCTTTACCCTTTCCCATAAATCAGCCATGAAACCACGAGACCTGGGGTTCTTCTCGTGTTTCATCACCTCAGTGCTCCACCTCGAGCCGCGAGGCGGAAGGGCTGCACCGCCGAGCCTTGGAAGGCTACGAGTCCCAACTGGGACCGCAACACCCCGACACGCTCGTCTCTGTGCACAACTTGGCCATGCTCTTGATGAAGCAGGGCAAGTTGGAGGAGGCCAGGCCGAGGTCTTTGGGGGGAACGCATGTGGCCAGGACGAGAAACTGGTGAATTTTCTTGTTTCCAAGACTGGAGGAATTTTGGGAATCGGAATGTGAATCTGTGATAAGTGATACGTATTGATAAGTCTGTTTGTGCAGGTGAAACACGTTGTGGCTTAAGTTTGCATTGAGATTGACTGTCCCCAGGATTGTTGCGAGTGAATTTGGTGAGTTGACCCCGCAAGACACGTGCCAAGCAAGCGGGATGTGCCAGGGTCACAAACTCATGAAACAAACTGTTTCTCCGGAATCCAAGCTTCGGCTGTAGATACCAGATTGGGCCTAATTCGTTTGACTGGGTTGTTGAATCTCAACAGCAGTACATGTATTTTGCGCAAGGGTAGATCAACATTGTCTTCCAAGAAGTGAAACTTGGTAGATAGCAATCATAGTTCGGTTCTATTTAGAGCTTTGGCTGATGCATCGATAATAATGCGTGCCAGCTTCACGCAGTACAAGAAAAGCCTTCACCCTGGCTTCTTGGTTCCCACAATCCCATCCCTTGCAGATCAGATTCTGAGATTTGCGGGTTTTGATGTTTGAACAATCAATGGGCCACATTGCACCACCAACACATTGCCTCTCACCAGTTGCGGATCACAGCACAAGGCCCATCTCGCCACGGCATAGGAAGCCACCCTGCTGTCATCCACAACCCACCCTGCAGGCGGAGGAGCTCCATCGCAGGGCCCTGACAGGGCGAGAAGATCAGCTGGGCCCCGTGCATCCGAGCACCCTCAGCTCCGTCTGGAATCTGGCAAAGCTTCTGGAGGCCAAAGGCTCCGTCTCAGAGGCGATGCCGGCTTGTGTTGCTTGGGGTGGTTCTGCTTGGAGGGGATGTAGATGTGGGAAGTTGATGGAAGTTGAAGAAGTGGTTTAACAGCGACGCCCTCTTGAAAGGAACAGATCTCACCGGTCTTGGCAAAAGTGTTGTCAAGATTCGAAAGATGATGTTTTATTCTGTTTTCTTTGTATAAATGCTTTCTATAGAGACGATGTTTTGTGACATTCTGGTTGGGTATACCCAACCGGTATTAAGATATTGCAAGTTCTAAGTGATGCGGTTGCAAGGTCATCAGCCTGGGTCCGGGGTGGCCACCCACTGCCATGCACCACGTCTAGGCAGGGCAGCTTTATCTCCGCGAGCTGCGTGGCCTGGAGGCGTCTGCCAGGGTCACACGGGAACTGTCGATGGCTGACCTTGGACGGCTCCAGGCTATGAAACTGGTAGTCCCAGCTGGACATTGGTCCGGCTGGTAGTCGCTGCTTGTGGATTTTGGAGTCCCAAAGTAATGTCCGACAAAAGGTGTTGGTCGCCTTTAGTTGAATTCCATCAATGGACATCTTCAATGTATATTCATATTATTCATGCATCTAGATTTTGCAAGAAAAACAATTTTTGATCCGATAATCTGATATACTGTAATTTTTCTTATCTTTTTGCTTTCGGTATCATGGCGTTCGGTGTTGCAAGTTCGAGCGTGAAATCATTGAGCCCTGCCAACATGTGTGTGTCTCTGAGATCCGCAAAACTTTCAGCCCGCTCGGTGCCGCCTTCTCTGCAGGAGCTGCATGGTCCGGAGCACGCAGAGACCCGAGCGAGTCGCCGCAACCTGGAGCGATTCCAACGACAGCACGGGCCAATTGGTTAAAGGCCGTGTGAGACCAAAATTTCCCTCCAAGACATTCACAGGCGACATGCTCGAATCGGTTTCAATCTTTACCAAGATGTTTGGATTATTTTGATGGAAAGCTGGCCTGTGGCCTTGTCTTTTCCCCACTGTCAAGGATTTTGCTTCTGAGGCAGCAAGTGGAAGCACGTTTGAGTTTCTCAAAGTTCTGCAGTTCAGATTTTGTTCAGAACATGTTTGACCGATAAAGAGACGTTTGGGTTTTTTCCCAACTTGTTGCAGTTTGGGTTTGGGAATGGATTCGCATGCCAGCTTCTCCCAGAAGTATAGCAAAATGTTTCAACAAATTGCATTGGTATGCCTGTGGGATTTGTGGTTGATTCACTTTAGAAAGTTCTGCATTTTCCACCAAGCCTCCATTGACTCGCAGGCATATCAGCATCTTCCAGCCCGTGACCCTGCATCGCATTGAGCCGCAAGCTATCATCATCTATCAATCCCGTTTCACTGAGATCATCTGAGTATAGAACCCGAAATCGGAGCTTCGAATTACCAAGCAAATCTGTCCAAACAGGGCGCGTCTCGATTTGACCCCCACAGTACTCGAAGTCTGCAGACTTGGCATCTGGGATCGGATCACTTCCAGAGTCCATCACAAGGTCAGGGCCTCTGATGATAGTGCTGCGCAGCAATTTTTGGCGCAAAAACAATGATTTGTTTTTATAATTTAGATTTATTTATGTGTCATGTGTTATGATGTGTTATGTCTTTTTGGCAACCTCAGCTGCTTCTGGTCATGGACATGTCAACCGTTCGGCTTTGGTGTTCAAGATTTTGCCAGCAACTGATCTCTCGTCAAGCCAGTGAGGCAGTGCCTGTAACTTTCTTGGCCAACCTACTCTATTCATGTGCCAAACTTCCTTCATATCCACACGTGTCAATAAGAGTGGACCCGGAATTGGTTCCCAATGAATTTTAAACATCTTCAAACTTTGGCCAGGTCCGAGCGACCTCGAAAGAAGGGCTTGGGAGGTTTCTCCTCCGACTTGAAACCTGATTTGTTTCCTCCTTGAAAGAGCCTTTATGAGTGAAACTTTGGAGTCAGGAAGTGCCTGTGGAGCCCAAAATGTCCTACATCCAACATGGTTGTTAACAGCTATACCCCGGTCACGCATGTCAGGATTTGTAAATAGTCAAGACATCCAGAAGTTTTGTGCCTTAAACATATTTAAACATCTTAAAATCCACTTCATCCACTAGTCCGGCAGCGCTTTTGAGCCTGTGATGTGGCGCCGGGCCATGGCGGATCAAGAGGCCGCTGTTCCTTTGGCAGGAGACGAAGTGGGATGGACCTGGAAGTGCATAGGCTGCTGAATCTCATGAGGTTTGTGGAGTTGCACCCAAGAGCATTGATCAACCTTCAAACATGATCTCTTGGTCTTGCTCTGGCTTTGGAATTTGGTCACCATTCGGACATATTTGGATTTGCAATCGACGTAGATCATGAGGGTGACTTCCATTTTGCAGGGTGCCAGCGCAGGGATTTCGGTGGTTTCATTTGAAAACAGTCTAGTTGACTGGAATGTGAAGTGGAGATCCACAATTTTGATGATTGATCTTGCATGTGATTGCCGTAAGGCCGTAAGGTGGCACATTTTTTGTGAAAATCTACTGGCCCCCAGCCCCCAACTGTGAAGACATCTTCAACATTGAAACATTTTTTGCGTGGAAAACTAGCGCCCCAAAAATGGATGAGGGATGCCTTTTATGGCAGACATGGTCTCAACATTGAAGCCCGTTTTGGCTGAATCATAGTGACTAGTGCCCCCAACTGGATGCCCTTCATGACCGAAGAAACCGCCACTTTTTTGTACAGACTATCGCCCCGAAATGAATGCATTCTATGACAGGCATGTTCTCAACATTGAAGACTGTTTTTCCTGAAACAGAATGCCCCCGAAATGGATGCCTTTCAGCAAAGACTTTTTAATTCTCAGCGTGACACCTATTTTTTGTTGAAACCTGATGCCCCCAAAACCAATGCCTTTCATGTCAAAGATGTTGTCAACATTGAACCTTTTTTGTTTGACACAATGCCCCCAAAATGGATGCCTTTACGAAAGATGTTCTCAATGTGAAGCCAGTTCTTTTAAAGCAAAATGCCCCCGAAATGGATGCCTTTCAGCAAAGATTCTTTAATTCTCAGCGTGAAACCTATTTTTTGTCGAAACCTGATGCCCCCAAAACCAATGCCTTTCATGTCAAAGATGTTGTCAACATTGAACCTTTTTATTTGACACAATGCCCCCAAAATGGATGCCTTTATGAAAGATGTTCTCAATGTGAAGCCAGTTCTTTTAAAGCAAAATGCACCCGAAATGGATTCCTTTCAGCAAAGACTTTTGAATTCTCAGCGTGAAACCTATTTTTTGTTGAAACCTGATGCCCCCAAAACCAACGCCTTTCATGTCAAAGATGTTGTCAACATTGAACCTTTTTTGTTTGACACAATGCCCCCAAAATGGATGCCTTTATGAAAGGTGTTCTCAATGTGAAGCCAGTTCTTTTAAAGCAAAATGCCCCCGAAATGGATGCCTTTCAGCAACGACTTTTTAATTCTCAGCATGAAACCTATTTTTTGTTGAAACCTGGTGCCCCCAAAACCAATGCCTTTCATGTCAAAGATGTTGTCAACATTGAACCTTTTTTGTTTGACACAATGCCCCCAAAATGGATGCCTTTATGAAAGATGTTCTCAATGTGAAGCCAGTTCCTTTAAAGCAAAATGCCCCCGAAATGGATGCCTTTCAGCAAAGACTTTTTAATTCTCAGCATGAAACCTATTTTTTGTTGAAACCTGATGCCCCCAAAACCAACGCCTTTCATGTCAAAGATGTTGTCAACATTGAACCTTTTTTGTTTGACACAATGCCCCTAAAATGGATGCCTTTATGAAAGATGTTCTCAATGTGAAGCCAGTTCTTTTAAAGCAAATGCCCCCGAAATGGATGCCTTTCAGCAAAGACTTTTGAATTCTCAGCGTGAAACCTATTTTTTGTTGAAACCTGATGCCCCCGAAACCAATGTCTTGCATGTCAAAGATGTTGTCAACATTGAACCTTTTTTGTTTGACACAATGCCCCCCAAAATGGATGCCTTTATGAAAGATGTTCTCAATGTGAAGCCAGTTCCTTTAAAGCAAAATGCCCCCGAAATGGATGCCTTTCAGCAACGACTTTTTAATTCTCAGCATGAAACCTATTTTTTGTTGAAACCTGATGCCCCCGAAACCAATGCCTTTCATGTCAAAGATGTTGTCAACATTGAACCGTGTTTGTTTGACACAATGCCCCCAAAATGGATGCCTTTATGAAAGATGTTCTCAATGTGAAGCCAGCTCTTTTAAAGCAAAATGCACCCGAAATGGATGCCTTTCAGCAAAGACTTTTGAATTCTCAGCGTGAAACTTATTTTTTGTTGAAACCTGATGCCCCCAAAACCAATGACTTTCATGTCAAAGATGTTGTCATCATTGAACCTTTTTTTTGACACAATGCCCCCAAATGGATACCTTTATGAAAGATGTTCTCAATGTGAAGCCAGTTCTTTTAAAGCAAAATGCCCCGAAATGGATGCCTTTCACCTTTCAGCAAAGACTTTTTAATTCTCAGCGTGAAACCTATTTTTGTTGAAACCTGATGCCCCCAAAACCAATGCCTTTCATGTCAAAGATGTTGTCAACATTGAACCTTTTTTGTGTGACCCAATGCCCCCAAAATGGATGCCTTTATGAAAGATGTTCTCAATGTGAAGCCAGTTCTTTTAAAGCAAAATGCTCCGAAATGGATGCCTTTCAGCAAAGACTTTTTAATTCTCAGCGTGAAACCTATTTTTTGTTGAAACCTGGTGCCCCCAAAACCAATGCCTTTCATGTCAAAGATGTTGTCAACATTGAACCTTTTTTGTTTGACACAATGCCCCCAAAATGGATGCCTTTATGAAAGATGTTCTCAATGTGAAGCCAGTTCCTTTAAAGCAAAATGCCCCCGAAATGGATGCCTTTCAGCAAAGACTTTTGAATTCTCAGCGTGAAACCTATTTTTTGTTGAAACCTGATGCCCCCAAAACCAATGCCTTTCATGTCAAAGATGTTGTCAACATTGAACCTTTTTTGTTTGACACAATGCCCCCAAAATGGATGCCTTTATGAAAGATGTCCTCAATGTGAAGCCAGTTCCTTTCAAGCAAAATGCACCCGAAATGGATGCCTTTCAGCAAAGACTTTTGAATTCTCAGCGTGAAACCTATTTTTTGTTGAAACCTGATGCCCCAAAAACCAATGCCTTTCATGTCAAAGATGTTGTCAACATTGAACCTTTTTTGTTTGACACAATGCCCCCAAAATGGATGCCTTTCAGCAAAGACTTTTGAATTCTCAGCGTGAAACCTATTTTTTGTTGAACCTTTTTTGTTTGACACAATGCTCCCAAGATGGATGCCTTTATGAAAGATGTTCTCAATGTGAAGCCAGTTCTTTTAAAGCAGAATGCACCCGAAATGGATGCCTTTCAGCAAAGACTTTTGAATTCTCAGCGTGAAACCTATTTTTTGTTGAAACCTGATGCCCCCGAAACCAATGTCTTTCATGTCAAAGATGTTGTCAACATTGAACCTTTTTTGTTTGACACAATGCCCCCAAAATGGATGCCTTTATGAAAGATGTTCTCAATGTGAAGCCAGTTCCTTTAAAGCAAAATGCACCCGAAATGGATGCCTTTCAGCAAAGACTTTTGAATTCTCAGCGTGAAACCTATTTTTTGTTGAAACCTGATGCCCCCAAAACCAATGCCTTTCATGTCAAAGATGTTGTCAACATTGAACCTTTTTTGTTTGACACAATGCCCCCAAAATGGATGCCTTTATGAAAGATGTCCTCAATGTGAAGCCAGTTCTTTAAAGCAAAATGCCCCCGAAATGGATGCCTTTCAGCAAAGACTTTTGAATTCTCAGCGTGAAACCTA